TTGTATTTGGTATCGTTCTCCTTTAATTTACTGGCCTCATTCCAGTCATAAATTCATCATCCTGACTGCATAGAACTCACAAATACATTTTTAAATTTAATTTTCTAAACCTATTCTGTAAGCTGTTGTGGGTTTTTGGTAGTTTGGTTGAGAAGTATATGCTTTACAGAAGAAAATAATATCAGAAATCCTATAAAATAAATATTAATAACATATAATATATAGTCTAATAATATATTTAATAATGTATTTGCATTACACAGAATAGAGAAGTATTTTTTTTTAGCATTTACGTTTAAGGACATTACTGATTTTTCTTTTACAAAATTAGTAGCTATTTGCCATTTTAATTCACCTAAAAAACAGAAGTACAAGCAGAAGGATCTATTGAACTAAGCATATTCAGCACATTGTTTTGTAATATGTGAATGGCAGGTGGTTTAAAATTCCAGGTCTTAGACTCCCATATGGCTCTACAGTGTGTGCTACCTCACATAAATTTTGCTCATTTCATGACCTTAATGTGCTTTGTAAAATGAGATTCACTACATATGTTTACAAGAATAAATGCATCACCATTCTCCCTTCATAAACTGTATCTGAATGGAATTACCTGTGCTATAATAGATGCACAATGATTAGCTAGCAGGAACAATTATTTAATGGCACAAAACGACAGCTTGGCAGAGCTGGCAGGCGGCACTTTCACTGGTATCTCTTGGGATTGCTTCATGCGCCATTACGTTTCAGATGGCCCTAAATTTGTGAGGGCTATTTATTTTTTGAAGCATTCCCCCCATAGAGTAGAACAAAAAAAAGAAACATTCTTCTTAGCTTTAATATATTTCAGTTTCATTCTATGAATGCATATTATATTTCATAGAACTGCAGAACTGCACAGAATTAGAAGTCTTGGGAATTAAATCAAAGCAGTATTGCTCTATCTGTTCATAAGCAAAATGTGTACTGAGAAAAATAATCTTTTCCTGTTTAAGAAAAACAAGATAAGAAAAAAAGAACTATTTTAACTTGACTAGTAACAAGGTATGCTGTAATATACACTTTGATTTTGTCAAGAAAAGCAAACGAAGAACATAAAACAGAGAAAAGAAAGCCACGTTTTGTTGATGCTGATATTAACTTCTCTTGAAATGCAGGGAATTTAATTTATCAATTTGTGAATTGCTGTTATTTGACAATACATATACATTCACTGTACATTATATATAAACTATATAATATTTCTATAAAAACGATAAGTATATGGAAGTTCACAAGTGTTTTAATTCTAAAGATAACCTAAAAAGACACTTTTCAAACTGACTTAACTGAAGTCAATCTGAAAATGTAAGTTGCTTCATTCATTCAATTAAGTAATTAAGGAAAAAAAACAAATGTTCTAAACAAGCAACTTGCAGGTTCAAACAAGGATTAAATTAAGTAAATTTAAGTTCACTTCCACTATTAACCAGCAATGGTGTTTGCATCCCCAGGACCAGTATTACAAACGCCTCTCAAAGGTACAGTACATTACATCAGTACCAGAACTCAATCAGTTTTCTAGGTGTCTTTAAATTATGGGCAGCTGAAAATCTTTAAAGTTAAATTGGTCCAAGTAAGCTAATGATTACCTCAAATGTGTTTGTAAGGCACATTGAGAACAGTTATGCCACTTTTGTAAGTATAGTAGTTGCACTACATTTTTTCAAAAGCTGTGGGCCTTTATTTGAATTTATAACATTCATTTTATTAATCATGTATACAGTGTATCTAACAGTTGCCCAAAGGTTAATCAGAACTTTGCCAAGAGAACCATATCTTTTCTGAACCAATTAACTGCTTACTTTTCAGATTCATTAACTAATTGCTCTAGGTAACTAGTTAAATGAGCCACATAATTAATGTTTTTACATATTTTGATTTTAAAAATACAGCCTACTCTTGCTTTTAATGTATTATCATATTTTCCAATTACATTTAAATTCACATTTTAAAATCATAAAAAGATTTCTGCTGGTCAGACTAAAAAGACTGTAAACTGTGTACAGCAGAATTCAGGACTACTGTATAATGTAAAGTGTATAAAGTACAGGGAAATGTTTACTGTGAACAGAAGGCTCCAAAAGAAAAGACATGGATTAACAATCAAGCAAGACATCTGGATCACAAACTGAACAGATGGACAAGACCCTGCACATTACTGCAACCTGGAATAAAAGTAAAAAAATATATTCAAAACATAAAGTTGATAATAGATAGAATAGAAAATAGATGTATTATTTTATTTTGCACATTTTTAACTTATATGGATACAGTATGTCATGTGGATGGGCTGTAATATGTTCAAAACAACTGTCCTACCTTGTAATTTTATATGCATGAATCTTTATTACAGGTACAGTATGTGTAGACAGTTCTGATTTCCAACATTGTTAATTAGCCAGTGTTAATTAACGTTTACATAACCCATAGTGATTGCTTGTGCTTACAAACACACCATAAACTCTATAAAGCATATATTATTGTGTGTATGCAACATATGTACAGTATATATTGATGTATAATTATGCATTTAAAGGACTTTCATAATGACTTGCAACATGCATTTACTATTTTATAAGTGCCATACCTGCAATTGCTACAAATGTGAATTGGGTAAGCAGCTCAGCACATAACATTGTTTTATAGCTACAACTTCATAAATATGCTTTATTTTTTATGAATACCATTTTTATAGCTTATTATAAATATAAATATAATAATTTACAAGTATATAAACTCAGCATTTATTCAACATAAATGCTGAATTTAATTTGCTTAGCTGATTTTTTTCCTAACACATTAAAAGTATTAACAGTGGTTGATGAGCACTTGTGAATTTTATTACTTCTTACATGGCAACTATAGAGTAGTAAGAAGTGAGCATCTTCTGATGTTCATACGTATAAAAATAAAGGGAAGAATAAAGATTTTGCATTCAGGTAAGCTTTATCATTTTTGCAACTCCGGCTTACAGGTAAATATCAATCACTTGCAGTTGTTCTTGAAGTGGTCTTGACATGTTCAATATTCAAGTAAATGGGGGCCTTATCATAGATGAATTTTGTGCTTGTGTTCAATGTTCATTTTTGCTATTTCACAGTCACACAAACTATCACTTTTGAACATTTAGGATGGGATGGACAGATATTTTTCACCCTAGCCAACCACAGGTATTTAGACAGATCTTCATCACTTATTTAATTAAAATTCCACAAAAATCAGATGTGTTACAGAGGTTTAAAAAGTACTTTTTGTGCATTGAAACTTTAAGATCCTGAGAATAATTATTAGCAGATTTGCTTACACAACGACAAATAATACACCTACTTCCAAAAAACTGGTAATTCCTAGTTAAAGGTGTACCCTGTCACTAGCAGATTCTGTGAGGATAGCTGATGGAGTGTGAGATACAGTAGTATTCCATAGCCAGAACTGACTTCTGATTTTTATTCTACTGAAAGCCAGTGGAACATGTGAGACATGCAGTTCAGTTCTTTGCAGCATTAAACTGAGGGAGATCCTGTTAGAAGAATATTATGAGCTGTAAATAATTTAAAACCACATGGAATATGTTATTTAATGTTCAAAAAGATTTCACAACCTTGGAAAGTCCTACACACTTTTCAGTGGTACTTCCAATTCCTGCTGTATGTTGTAAATCATATGTGAAATCTTTTATAAAAAAAAGAGAACAAACTTCACACAGACGGTGCTGCTGGTCCAAAACTAAATCCGGGACCCCAGTGCTGCAAGACATCAATGCTAAACATCGTGCCACCCGCCAAGTAAATCTCCAGATTTAAATCCAATTGAGCATACATTAGTAGTATAAAGTGACACCTTTTGTCAAACTTTTGACAGGTACCACGCCCCCTTTTCCAGCCAATGGGAGTCAGCGGTGGTTGGCTGTCCCGCCCCCTTGCCAGCCAATGGCGTGTTGTTATTTGTGCATGTCCCGCCCCCTCGGGAGCCAATGTTGTGTCGTTAAGGGTCGGAACTCCCGCCTTCCCCCCCGGCTGGTCGGTCTGGGGCCTCAGGGTCCCAAAGCCCCAAGGCGGTGCATACCTCGCTTTAGGTGTGTGTAAGTGTGTATTGGTTTGGAAGGGGACCATGTCTACAGCAGGGTTGAGTGCGCTCTATTATAACCCTAGGAAATCAGGTAGTTACGGTGGCGCGGGGAGTCTGGTGCGGGCCGCGAGATCCCGGGGTGTGAGCGACGCCAGCCACGGCTGGGTGGCCGAGTGGTTGTCCGGCCAGGCTGCTTATACGCTGCACAAGCCATGTCTCAAAAGCAGCAGGGTTGTAAGCACACACAAACTGACTGCGTAAAGTCTCATGGAAAGAACTTGCAGGACAAACACCATGTGAAATGTAAACTGCTTTATTTCAACAGTGGGTTTTCAAACACAGAAACAGCGCAGCATCACTTTTTACACAAGTTACAGACTCCTGTTTGCAAGTATGTGAAATGTGAACCGTTTTATTTCAACAGTGGGTGTTTCAAACACTGAAACAACGCAGCACACACGTGTTACCAGCTCCTGTTTGCATTCAACAATTAAATGTTGGTGCGGAAAATTAGTTCGGTACACGTAACCACCACCCCAACATTGCTGAGAAACTTTGAGGCATCTGAAAAAGCATTCATAACCCCCTTCCGCTCCCCGTGTCTAAACCCATGCGAACCACACTGGGCGATCCGATCTAGCAGAGCAAAAAAATGTGCCTGCGTAATCAGCGGGATGGTGTTACCACAGGTTCTGTGCAAAACACACTGTATTTTGGAATACACACTGTAGAACCCCCCAGGTTTCCGTTTCTGATCTGAAAACATCAGATCTGCAATAATTTCAACTTATCTGCATAAGTTCTTGACATACACATCTATCTCTTTAACAAATTTAAGGACATTAGCATTCAACTCTTTGTTTTGCATATCAAGCTTTGTAGAGAGAAGTGTGTAAAGCACTCTTAGTAAGAATTCAGATGTATACATTCAAAATTCTTCATTCTTCAGACGATGGCACACCCGGGTCTGTAAAACAGAGTGAAATCTGTATTCACATTTTACATAGATCTTTTTTTTTGCGTCTGTAAAAATAAGAATAGTGTTTCTTTTGCAACGCATCAAAAGTCACATCTACTAATTTTTCATCCAGCTGTTCAAGTATGGTGTGTACATGCTCGTATGGGGAGCGGTCCTCAATTATATTTTTCAGCAACTGTTTTATGTACCGCTCAGTGTCATTTGTTATGGTGTACGAACTCAGACACCTGGCGGTGTACAGAACAGCCGATAAATTTCGGGCTAAACTGAGAGACTTATAAATTTCTAAAGCAGCAAACGTCACGTCTTCAAACCCATCTGTGTAGCCGACAGACAGGCATGTGTGACCCCACTGCCCGGGATGGTCAATCAAACAGGCCGGGCAGTCATCAACTAGGACCCCCTTTAAACAGTGTTTGAAGATGCAATTAACTACCGCTTTCACAATCTGGGGCATAACATCGGGCTCATTAGGGACATGGGCATCAGCTTTATTAACATTTGGCCGAACACACAAGCATAGACACGAAACATTCAGTTGTGCCGGTAGGCTGAAGATTGACCATCCACATCCTCTTTATTCTATTAAAGGAAAAAGAAAAGGAAGGCTTAACAAAATAGACATGCTTTGTACCTAAAATATAGAGCATTTAACGCACTTTTGAGCTAAGGTTTTTTGTTAATATTTACCATTTGTAGCGTGGTATCATTGCTAGCACCCGGCAGTTCTTCAACATCTGGTACCCCAGCTGAACTCACACCCCCGCCGCTGTCACAGGGTGCAGAGGGTGGGGTCGGGTTTTGCTAAAAAGAAGACCAAGTATTAAAATGACATACGCTAAGCACCAATACAACAATTCCACGATCAGAAAAAATATTTTAGCCGCCTACCTCTTCACTTTGTAGAGTAGCGGACCCCGTTGTTTCTCCACACAAAGAAGCCATCTCCACAGCTCCCAACAAGGGGCGGTGTCTGACAGCTCCAAGGACGCGCTGCGACCCTGTCAGGCCAGAGCGTTTAAGAATATGGGCCAATGGTGTAACCAGGCCTACATAACACAAGATATTTTTCACTTGGTTGTGATGCTTTAAAACGCATCACAACCAATGTTGTGATGACCCCCCCCTGATTTATCGAGAGCGAAAAGTATTCACATATCAGTTTATAAGTTTTAAACTTTAAAAGTATTAACACACAACGGAAACACAAATGATGTGTTTGCCCAGAAAATAAATTTTAAACACGCGGGGTTGGTCTTAAAGTTTTTAAAATAATGTAATAAGACACAGTTTATTTTTAATAACACATTTGCGACAGCTTTTTTGAAAGTTTTAGATAAATTTCCACACATCGCAAGCGTAAAAGTCTTTAAGGTATTAACAGGCAACAAATGATGGGGTGTTGTTCTTCATACTTTAGCGGATTGGTCTTAAAGTTTTAAAATCACGTAATAGAGATAATTTGAGATGTTTTGGAGACGTGTGGTGTGTGTGTGGGGGTTAGTTAAAGGCTCTGGAATGCAGAGTGGGGGGAGGGGGGCTAAAATTGACCCCAGGGAAAGTTTATAAACATTTTATATTCATGTAAAGTTTTCTAATTTACAAGTACCACATGTATTTCACGCAAAAATGTTCTTAACATCGCATCGCGAAAAAACAAAACCTCAAAACGTCAAGGTTGGTTTGTGAACACATCCATATAAAGAACAGATACATTTTCTTATAGCGTTAATAAAAAACATTTTGCTTGATAATATTCTTAGCGGTCTGTTGGTGAATCAAACACAGACACCGCGGCACATTTTCACCACGTTTTAGACACCGTTGTATGTCTTAAAATAATAGAGATTTTAACATTATAACGGTCTAAAACGTTTTCTAAAATGTTTCTTAAAATAATTTCTACAGACCAGTACGTGCACCCCCAATGATACCTAAGATTAATGGTTTTATGGGGTTCCATGTGTGTTTCTTAGAAGAGAATGTTTATTGGTTTGGGTATAAGTACCAGCGGTTTAACAGGTGAAGTTTTGGCTGGATTCCAATTCTTACAGTCTCACGTTATCACCTAACTCGTCAGAATGGATCACGCCGATCAATTACAACAGTCTGAAGATAGTCTATTTACAGACTTAACACTGTTCGACTTGATAGACGAAGACGAGGACTCCACAAATTTAAGCAGTATGTATATCTGGCTTATTGTGAGATAATTACAACGTCACGGTGCATGTCTCATGTTAGCTATAGTTACAAAACGTTGTATAATATTTGTATACTAGGCAATATTGAATTATTATAATGGAATTACCAGGGAGTTGTTCTGTAATGTGGTTGTGACTGTGTGTATCCATTCATTTCCATTAGCCCCGAAAACCACAGCTGTAAAAAGACCAGTTACGGCGCAGCCCAACACTGGTGAGTAATTACGACAATGTTTTGAATAACTCTTTACGACCATGTGAGTCTTAAAGACACCGGGGTACATACTCCACACCAATACTCGTATGTGTCTATTCCGCAGACGCGGGCGAAGGGACAAGTCTCTACACATTTAAAAAACCTTGTTTGGGGTTTACAATACCACCGCAAAACCTTGTGGAGACACATGCAGATGTTCATGTCATACCAGAGTGTGCGCAGCATATTATCAGATCGCCTGGGAGAAGAGGTCGGTATTATATAAAACATTCTTTTAGCATGGCCATTTAAACGTGTCTACAAGAAAAATCCCCACCGTTTTTCTATTTTTTGGTAATTTGCGGTGTTGAGTTCTTTCACTAATGGTATTTTCCCTCTCCTTGCAGACCCCGGACCTTCAAAAAATAAATTGCGACGAGCCAACACGTTAACTGGGTCAACGAGCTCAAAACGTCGGAAATCAACAATCAAAGGTTAAAATAATTTAAGCGTGGTCAAGATATGTTATGATCCACTTACGGCAAATGTTACTTCTTTTGTTAGGATGTTAATTCGCTGAAAGATCCTAGTTCGCGTAGTTTTCTGTTTGGGAGTGTTAAAAAGCCTTATTTTAAAACTGCTTAGCTTTTAAAGTTAAAAGCGAATGGTCTGTGCGAGGGGTCTATAGGTCGTTAACCATGCCACTTGACCCAGTAGCGCCACCACAGTCGTAAAGGAAACCGGTGTAACAACATGTCCGGGCCCTTTGTGTAAGGATGCGCCACATGTGTGGCGTTTTTATCATAGTTATCATAGTTTTCTGATTTTGACAGTTTAGATTTCATTGATTGTTGTGTTGAAAATACTTTTATTTTTATCACAGTGTAGTTTTCTGATTTTGAGGTGGAGCATTGGCGTGGTATTAAAAAGTCTTTTATTTATTCACACAGCAGCTGTATCGACGAGCGGTGAAACAAATGTGGCGGAAACGTCGGACCCTAAGGTGGTGACTGCATCTGAGATGACTGTTAAGACACTGACCAAAACCAAACGTGTCAAGCCTTCGGAGCGAAATAATAACGCGCCTAAAGACTTGGTGCTTGGTGATTTGGGATACTCAGTGCGGTATATTGCAGACTTAGTATCAAAGGTGGGCACTAATGAGGTGGATAAAAAGCGGTATTTAGAGAATCTAAGAGCTGCTTTAGCAAGTGCACATGCAGTGTTTCCGAAAACGATCCAGGTTTATGCCTGGACGTTTTTTCTAAAGAGGATGTCGATCTAATCTCTGGATTTCTCTACCTTGTAATGCTATTTCAGGGAGCATTGGTGAAGACCCACTGGGATAAATGACTAAACATGCGGTCTAAAAAGTGTTTAAAAGACCGACCGCTTGCCAACA